TGCTTGGCCAAGGCCATGCCCTCTGAGGAGTCACATCAAAGGCCTCAAACTATGGAGGAAACAGACTCCACTAAGATGGTCCAGTCAAGTCTTTAAACAAATAGAAAGCAAACAACAATAAAAACAAGCCTGGAGAGGTGAGAGGGGAATCAGGAGAATCAGCATCTAGAGGTGCTAAAATATATTACCTAAAATGTCCAGTTTTCAACAAAAAATTATGGGACAGGGAAAGAAACAAGAAAGTGTGACCCCATACACAGGAAGAAAAGCAGTCAACAGAAACTACCTGTGACAGAACCCAGACATCTGATATACCAAAGACTTCAACACAACCATTATAAATATGTTCAAAGCACTAAAGGAAACCATGCTTAAAGAAGTAAAGGAAGGTTAGTGACAAAATCTCAACAGATAGAGAATATCAATAAAGAGATGGAAATTATAAAAAAAGAAGCAAATGGAAATTAAGAAGTTGAAAAGTACAAAAACAATAACAAATTCACTAGAGGGGTTCAACAGCAGATTTGAAGTGGCAGAAGGAAGAATTAAAGAAACTGAAGACAGATTGATAGAGATTATGTACTCTGAACAACAGAGAGAATAAAGAATGAATAAAAATGAACAAAGCCATAGAGAAATATGGGACACCACAAGTGTACCAACATACACATAAAAAGGAGAGTACAGAAAGGAGTAGAAGAAATATGGCTTAAAACTTCCCAAATGTGATTTTAAAAAAAAATTAACCTATACATCCAAGAAGTTTAACAAACTCCAAGAAGGATAAACACAAAGAGATCCCTGTAAAGAAACATCATAGTAAAAATGCTCAAAGACAAAGAGGAAAATGGCTCGTCGTGTACAAGGGAACCTCAAAGATTAATAGCTGATTTTTTTTATCAGAAACAATGGAGACCAAAAAGCAGAGGGGGTGGTGACATATTGAAAGTGTGGAAAACAAAACACTGTCAACCAAGAATCTTATATCCAGCACGATTATCTTTCAAAATTGAAGAGGAAATAAAGGTATTACCAGATAAACAAAAAACAGAGAATGTATTGCTAGTAGACCCATCTCAAAAGAAATACTAAAGGCAGTTCTTCAGGTTGAAAGCAAGTTACCCAAGATGGTAATGTGAGCCCACATGAAAGAAATGACACTGGTAAATTACAAAAGACATATAAAGATATTATAAGTATAATATAAAAGACTAATTATAGGGCAGTATAAATGTGTATTTCTTCTTCTTCTTTTGAATTATTTAAAAAGGATTGTACAAAACGCTATTATGTAATTGCACTGTTGGGCCCATAACATATAGAAATGTAATCTATATGACAATAAGTACAAATAAGGTAGGTGAGAGTACAATTGTATTGAAGTAAGGAGGTGACCCAAGATAACTCAAATTCATAAGAACAAATGAAGAAAACTAGAAAGAGCAATAAGGAAAGTTAATATAATAAACTAGTATTCAAAGTATAAAAACAACTCTTACAGCTCAACAATAAAAAGACAAATAACTCAATTTAAAAATGGGCAAAGGATCTGAATAGATATTTCTTCCAAGAAGACATACAAGTGGTCATAAGCACATGAAAAGATGCTTAACATCATTAGTCATTAGGAAAATGCAAATCAAAATCAGAGTTTGGCAGTTCCTCAAAATGTTGAATAAAGTTACCACCTTTTGACCCAGCAATTCCACTTCAAGGTATATACCTAAAAGCAATGAAAAAATACTTGTGCACAAATGTTCATAACAGTATTATTCATAGTAGCCAAAAGCAGAAATAACCTAAGTGTCTATCAACCCAAATGGATAAACAAAATGTGGTATATCCATATAATGGAATATTATTGAACAATAAAATGGATGAAGTACTGATACATGCTACAACATAGATGAACCTTGAAAATATTATAATATTATGTTAAGTGAAAGAAGGCAGGCACAAAAGACCACACCTTGTGTTATTCTGTTCATATTAAATGTCCTGAATAGGCAAGTCCATAGGGACAGAAAGTAGATCAGTGATTGCTAGGGACTAAGGAGAGGATGGAATGAGAATTGACTGCTAGTTGGAATAGGATTTCTTTTTGGTCTGATGAAAATGTTTGGTATTTACACAGTGGTGATGATTGTATAGTCATGTATATACAGTAAAAACCACTAACTACTTTAAAGGGGTGAATTTTGTGGTATATAACTTATTTCTCAATTATAAAAAAATGGGCAAGTGATTTGAATGGGTATTTCTCCATAAAAGATATCAAAATGGTCAATAAACACGTGAAAAGATGTTCAACATCCCTAATCGTTAGAGAAATGCATACTAGAACTACAGTGATACCATTTCACACCTGGCTATAATCAAAAAATCAGATAATAAGAAATGTTGAGGAGGATGTAAAGAAATGGGAGCCCTCAAACACTGCTGGTGAGAATGTAAAATGGAGCAACCACTTTGGAAAACAGTCTGGCAGTTCCTCAAGTGATTAAACAAAGAGTTACCATATGACCCAGCCTTCTACTCCTAGGTATATAGCCACGAAAAATGAAAACATATGTCCACCCAAAACTTATGCACAAGTGTTCAAAGTAGTATTACTTACTATAGCCTAAAAGTGAAAACAACCCAATTGTCCAACTGATAAATGCATTAAAAAATGTCATATATCCATTAAATTGTGTTGGTGGGCTGAGCAGACAGACTTCCCATTCCCCATGAGGCAGAATTCAGCAGTGCTTCATTTCCCCTGCCAGGGTAGTGTCATCAAGGTCTACCTGTGAGCTAAGCCTCTGCCAGCAACAAGTCTTAACAGGTGGTTTGAAACATGGCTCACCATTCCTTCCATCAGGGAAGGACCCACTGGTGAACTGAACCTTCATCCCCATCCAGCACAAGAGACCAAACAAGGCAATACAAGTTGGGGTGAGTAAGCACTCTATTTTCCCCCAAACTTTGGTCTTAGTGAGCCCAGTGGGGAGACAAACCTCTACCTCCAATTGGCAGCAACAAGACTGAACAATGCAGTGTGAGGCAGGGCTAGTGGCAGTCCTGTCTCCACCCACATTGCCCCCAGGGTCAGTGGAGCCCAGAGAGAAGCTGAGCCTCTACTCCACTTGCCATCGGTAAAGCAGAAGGAGGTGGTATGAAGCAGGGCAGTCAACACCCCCTTCCCCACTCCCCTGGTGTCATGACAGGGTCCAATAGGGAGCTGAGCCCCAACTCTACCTGGTGTTCACAAGGAGGAAAGAGTCAGTGGGTGATGGGATACTGATACTGTTGTGCATTTATCCCTGAGTAATGAAACCTCATCCACACACAAAACCTGTACTCGAATGTTCAGAGAGGCTTTACTCACAATAGCCCTAAACTGGAAACAGCCAATTGCAATGTATTGACCTTTTCTGGATCCCAATTCAAACAAATATGTATGAGGGTACTTCAAAAAGTTAATGGAAAGATTCATATTAACTTTTAATTCTATTTTTCCGCAAACTTTCTGAAGTACTCTCATGTATACATAAATGTTAAATATATAAATATATGAGCTATTTCTATGAGTCAAAAATGTGAACAGTTTAGATATTTGATTATATTAATCAACAACTGTCAGTTATTTTAGTTACGGTGATGATGATATGACTATTTAATGAATAAAATAATGTGGTGCTTTGCGTTTGCTTCAGAGTAATAAGGATACAGGGGAAGCGAGTGGAGGAAGTGACTGGAATTATTAAAGCTGGGTGATGGTACCTATTTGAGGGATGGTACTTATATGGGGGATGATACACACATGGGGATCTTTATTTTATTCTGCATACTTTTGTGAAGATTTTACATTTTCCATAATTAAAGTTATTTTTTTAAAGTAATAGAACCAAGACTTAAATCTAGGTCTACCTCATCCCAAAGCTAGTTTTTGATGAGTTTTCTATTTTCCTTTACAAATAATAAATACTTTATTTATGTACTCCTCCAATTAAGTTGTCCCATGATTCATTAGACAACATTTTAAAAATACTTCCAATCCCACAACCTAATAAAGTATGACTGACCTCCTTTATTGATGAGATACACATTAAGGAAGTTACATATAAAGTAAACTTAATTTTTCTAGATATTTTCCTAATTAAAAATTAGCTACATTTATAAAATTAGGAAAATTTTAATAAAAAAATGTCTTTGGATAGGTAAAAATCAGCTTACCTGTAGATCACAATAGAGATGGTACAACCTTTGTGGGGGCACTTGGAAAGGTACAGAGTTTTTTGGGTTGTCACCAAAAGCTGGGGACACTACTGGATTTAGTGGGTGGTGGCAGGGATGCTAAATGTCTTCAACCCTCAGGGCTCTCCTGTACAATGAAGAGCTGCCCCACCCCAAAAGCCATTGAGAAATGCCAACTAAGAGGTAACATTCCAACAGAAGAAAGAATAAGGACAAAGATTCCTCTGACTCTTGGACTTGCTGGCCGGAGAGTTACTTAGGGTAAGAATACATTATTCTACAAGAGAAGCAGCAAGTAGACACCATCATTGCATTTGTTTCAGATAGCACTTCTTTCTAAAACCAGGGAAACTAACGTATAGTAAGTCTGGCACATAGAATTGTCTACAAATGCTGGTTACAAGTAGTATTAGCGTTAGTGCCTCTAGAGTCAGACACAACAAAGGCGAATGAAGGAGGATCCACAAGGATCTGTAATTCAGACGAGCAGAAGCGGGAAACACCAGGTTTCTTGATGAGAGAGAGCTCCCCCTGGTGGAGTGGTCAGATTCCTACAAGAACGCAATCGTTTGAGAACCGATTGTTCCCAGCAATCATTGAACCTCCAATACCTTTAGTTAAATCCTTCCTCCTTTACTCTTCCTTCTATCACCTTAGCCACTTAGGGAAGAAATCCTTCAAAGTTCCATATAAAGTAGGACTAAAGTGAACTTAGGCAAAACCCAGAGTGGGCTGCAAGGGATACTGCCAAGAAAAATTACCCAAGGTCTTCCTCGGCTAACTGCTGGTGATAGCAGCAAGACCAGCAACGCAAAAGCAAAATCAGCACGGCTTGCAGCTCAGAACCTGTGGCAGAAAGAGTGAGGGGGAACTGTTGCAGTAAGAATCCAAGTCACAGCACTCTTCCTTGCCTGGGGTGCCATATAACAATCACAGCAGTGTGGGAAGGTGAGAGAGAAGAGAAAAAACACTGGTAATAGGACCAAAGTGCTTTTAAATGTGCTTTATAAGTGATACTTGTCAGTAATGAAAGGAGAAAGAAATGAAAGGCTGATTCACAAATAAGCGTTTGACAATAGGAACAAACACACGATCTCAGTCTAAGATTATAATGGAGACATTGTTTGCAACATTCCTTCTTAAAAGGCAAGAGTCATTATTGAGGATTCTGAAAACGAATTCCATCAGGCCAAAACAGTAAGGAAGTAAGAATAAAAAGGTAAGTTATACCTGCAGCTTGGGATTCCAGTATGAAGAACAGAGCCTTTTCTTTCATGTCCATTCACATGGTTATTTTTATTAAACACCAGTTTGCACAGAGACAAAAAGTATATTAAACAGATACTACCTTTCATATTTGCAGCATACCCACTGTTATTCACCAAACTGGAATATGGTGGTTCATTTTGAGGCAAGACTCCTGCAGCCATGGTAGAGTCTGTTGGGGAAAAAAAATTTTTTTTTTAATCTATGCTTTGAAAATTTGCATTTACTAGTTACCCATTATATGCTAGACCTCTGCTGTCCAATATGGCAGTCATTAGCTAAGTGGCTACTGATACTTGAAATGTGCTGCTGTTAAGTCTAAAACATAAGATTTTGAGGACTTAGTAAAAAAAAAAGCAAAATATCTCATTAATGATTTTTTACAGTGATTATACACTGAAATGATATTTTTGATATATTGGGTTAAATAAAATATATTATTAAAATTAATTTCCCAATTCTTTTTATTTTTTTTGCTACTAGAAAACCTAAAATTCAATACATGGCTCACATGAGCTACACAGTAAGTACACTGCATAGAAAAATAAGACATTCTCCCTTATGAATTTATAGTCTATGGGGAAGATAAGATAGGACACAAATAATGCTAATAAATGCTAATTGTCATAAGACAGGCTTGGACAAGCAGGAGGGCTATCCAACTTGAGGGTTGGTGTAAGCCTTCAAGGAGAAATAAGCATTTGAACTGGGCTCAAGGAGCAATATTTATTGTGGACACGAAGGTATACTAGGCAATTGAGCATAACCCTTATTCTATTGAAACATAAAATTGTACCAAGTGACAGTTTACTGCATTTATAGGACATTAATTTGTAGCTGACAGTCTTCTACTAGCTCATGCTAGATTATATGGCTAAGTGATTGCTGTGTAGTTCAAATGGTACGATATCCACTGAAGAAAGTAAGTAAATCTTTCTATATGTCAGAAAACCAAAAATTATCACCTGTCTTAAGCTCTTATTATGTGCCAGACACAAATATTAAATTACTTCTTTCTAACAAGAACACTGTGAAGTAAGTATTACTCCCTATTTTAAAAATGTAAAAATTATTTCAGTAAGGTTAACATGTACATTAAAAGGCAGAGGTGGCAGTTAATCCCATCTTTCGGCTTTTAGTTTAGTTTTTTTCACATACTACACAGCTGCAAATGAAAGAAGTTCTAATAAAGATGATCTCAACATTTTTGAGGTTTCAGGAAAACAAATGCATAATTCAACTTAGTCACAGACTAACTGTACTTCAACTTAAACACTGATGAGAAAAAGAAAAATCAACTGTGGAATTTTATAAACTAAAGAATTATTTTCCTAAAATGCAAGTATATAACCCAGAAAAGTTTATGGCACAGACTAACTGTACTTCAACTTAAACACTGATGAGAAAAAGAAAAATCAACTGTGGGATTTTATAAACTAAAGAATTATTTTCCTAAAATGCAAGTATATAACCCAGAAAAGTTTATGGAGTTGACCATAATACAAGAGAAAGTCACACACAATTCTTTTTTTTTTTAAAGATGACCGGTAAGGGAATCTTAACCCTTGGCTTGGTGTTGTCAGCACCACGCTCAACCAGTGAGCCAATGGCCATCCCTATATAGGATCCGAACCCGGGGCCTTGGTGTTCTCAGCACCACACTCTCTGGAGTGAGCCATGGGCTGACCCTGAAAGTCATACACAATTTTAATGTTTTTTTTCTAAATAATTTTAATACTTTTCTTTGCAAATTTATATTTATTGTTTGAGTATCAATGATTGGGTAGTCAAACACTGTAATTTTATTAGCTTATTAAATGGCTATGAATTTTTTAAAAGGCTCTAAAAATCTGTTGAAATTTCCTGCACCAATAAATTAATAGTAGTAATTAAATTCAGCCCTAACTAACAGTTTTCCTTGGAGCATTTGTTTATTTCTGTTGGTGGGTGGGGGGAAATCACCTCAGTGATTCCTGGAGAATTTCAAGTTCATTAAAATTTTGCTTCTAAGATCAATTTTTATATGCTCAGAAGGTACAAAATTTAAAATCTAAAGTCCTATTTGATGAAGCTGTGTCCCTTCAAAAGAAATATAGAAATTAAAATCATAGGGGTAATTTAAATTAAATAAAAATGAATGCTTCTTACAATATTAATGTTACAAATCAGGTATAATACTAATTAATGCAAACTTTTATAACATGCATAACATTTCAAGTGAATGTTATATAAAGACATGAAGTAAAAGGACTAATGGAACAAGTTGTTCCAGGGAACTCATTAGCAAAAAGTTAATTAGAAAGGATATCCATTAAGATCAGACTCACAGGAAATATTTTCACCACATTACTTTTCACAAATCTGGACTATTTTTCTTAAAATATATTTTGACAAGAAAAACAATTATCACCATATTAGAATCATGGAATTTTGGAGCAGCTGAGATTCTAGCCCTGGTTCCTTTGTACATGAGAACTTATGTACCATGTTCTACAGTAGGTCTCTGACTTCTCCAGCATGATCCAGCATGCTGAGTGACAGAGCATGTTAGTGACAAGCCAGAACCAGTCATCACTTTGTGAAACTCTCCCTGACCTCAACTTTGCTCTTCAGCTGTAATGTAATGAAACACTTCTACTTAACTGTCTCCCCTGTAGACCATGGGGTCATGAGAGAAGGAGACATGATTGGTCTATCTTTATGTCTCTAGCGAAGGGGACAGCCTATCTGGGACACACTCATGACACATCTGTGGAACTTAAAGGGACCATACCAGACTGAGTTCTTGAGTCTATTCACATCTCATTTATCTCTGTATCCTAAAGCCCATGCAAAACATGGCTATTAAAAAAGTGTTTGTTAAATTAATTATACCTTTCCAGTCACAAAGAGTACAAGTATGATTATGGACTATCTTAAAGTTTTCTTTCTAACTAGCCCCTCAGAAACTCAAAGTTGTAAGGGACCTCAGAAGTCCTCTACTAGAATTCTGACTATGAGCATCGTCTCTACAATATCTTTGGACAGTAACAGTGACATCGCCCTACAGCCCTGGTAGCTAGAACACTCTTTATAATGCTGCCGCCCTGTAATTTCTACCCACTGGTCCTATTTCTGCCCATACAGAACAACGCGTCCTTTCTTCTGTGTATCTAACATGGTGATCACGTTCCCCTCACTCTCAGTTTATATCTTCCCAGATGACAAATCAGAAGTTCTCTTCACCGTTCTTCGTATGTAATGGTTCTAGACCTCCTCGCCAGCCTGGATGCCCTCTTCTATTTACACTCTATAGAAATTATTTTAGTGCCCAAAGCTGAAATCTATTCCTCAGATGTGGTATAATCATCAAAAATAAGAACAGAAACAGTCAGCCCTTGTCCGGATAGTATATGGGGCCTTTCATCACATTGGTATTTTCAGCAGTCTCAAGACAAATCAGGATACATCAACAGACAAGGAAAAAGCTGGCTAAAAATGATTTATACTATATTTCGAAGTTTAAAAAAAGATATTCCCAAAGCATAATTAAACATATAGAAAAGTTTAAAGTGAATACATAGTACAGAATGAAAAGGAAGTCTCCAACCTCCTATCCCTCAAGCCAAGTTTTATTCCCCAGAGGTAAATACTTTAAACATTCTGGAGGATAATCACTCTGGTTCTTACATTATCATCTTTAAACCATACTTTTGAATTCCTGGTATAAAAGATGAGCAGAGTGGCTCATTTACCCTACCTCGCCCACCATGCCAAACTTTCCCCCACTTAATACATCACAATATTTTAAAGTCTTCTGATTATCTTTGTAATTTTAAACAATATCCTTTAACCATCTCTTATTCTATCAACTTTAAACAGTATCTTGATTCCCTCTATGTAAAATAAGTAAATTAATTTACCTGTACTACTGTCCATTCTCTCTTCCCCTCTACGTTCAAGTTCTGCCAACTATGCCATTTCTTTTATACTAAGATTTTTAACTTTTGTTTCAGTTAATCTTCAATTTTCTCATGACTTTTCCATAGGCTTATTCTAAAATGTAAGACAAAATACAATTATTGTGTATGTGTATTATACATAATACACAAACACCAAACCTATGCTGATCAATGTGAAACATTCCAAGCATCATTGTCAAAAAGATTATCTTTTCTTGCATTCCATTGGTTGCTTAAAACAAAATCATACTTTGTTTCTCTGTAAATTTGGACAAAGCATTTCTTATACAGACTTCCTCCTGGTTTTTAATTGCCTTTTTCTTACTGACAAAAGTAACCTAAATATACACCACATCCCTACAATCTTTTAACTTCTTAACTACTTGCTTTTTGAAGATATTTTTTTCTGAGCTCTTTGGATTCCCATTCTAATGAGGACCAAAGCTTCCTATGCCTGGTACTCAGCTTTCAGCCTCAGGCTTCTTTTAATTGCACCCCAGTTGAGGTCATGGCTCCTTGGATTCTGCTTTGGCTTTGCTGACTTATCCTCAAGTATTTTCATAAAGGGTGAATGGAAAACTAACTTTCTAATTAACTCTCCAATCTTTTCATTCTGAAAATATCTTTATTTTATCCACATACTCAGCTGATAATCTGGCTACTTAAAGAATTCTAGGTTGAAAGCCATGCCGTACCAGAATTTTGAAAGTATTGTTCTACAGTGTTCTAGCAAACAACATTGCTGGTAAGTCTGATGCCAATCAGAGACTTGTGACAGGTAAGCGTAGGAACTTTTTCTTTGATGTTCTGAAATTGCTCAGTGGTGTGTATTGGGAGCAGACCTTTCTCACTCACCTTGATCAGTTCCTGTGGGCCCTTTCAATATACAGATTAATGTTCCCTTCAGCAAGCACACTTGATCAGGCACATGTCTCATGATTTACATTAAGAGCTTTACAAAATCCATGTCATTTTCATAGAAACACTCCGTGAGGTATGCACTATTATCATCTCCACTTTCGTAGGTGGGAAACCTTGTCTGAGACCCTATGATCTAGCCTGCAAAGCCGGTGCTCTTAACACCAATCCACTGTACCTCACAGAAAGATTAGACCAACTCACACAAGTTATTAAAAGGTGCATTTTTTCCTCTCATCTTCATTAATGCTAGGCATTTTGTCTTCTTAACAGAATTATTTCATTATTGTTTCACTTTGCATTTCTTTACTTAGTGAGGTAATGTAGTTTTTCAGAGGTTTTTTTCTTATGAATTTCTTATTAATAGACTGCCTGCTTCAGAGCTCTGCCCTTTTTCCTATTGGGACATTTGCCACTTTCTTCATCATATATATCAATTCTCATATCATAGTTAACATTACATATGTCAATTCTTCATCATTATATATGTCACAATTTTTTCAATGTTTATCATATTTTAATTATAGAAATGGTGTGTTTTGCCCAGCAGTCTTACTTTTTCATGCAGTCCAACCTATAAGATTTTTCCTTTAACTTTTCTGGCTCTAGTGCCACAATAAGAAAGTCCCTCTCCAATTCAAGATGTAAATCTCAATTTAATGTCTCCTATTTTGGGGTGATAAGTGTTGATTCTTTGTTGTAGATTGACAATAATATTGCTAAAATGTAATAGTTAATCCCATTGCTAAGGAAACATCTTTCCAAAGATTCTACCTGCTGCTCTGGGTATTACGTGGCCTCCTTACTCTGGCTGGTGGGAACTATTGCCAACCCTCTGAGAGCCCAGGGAACTGTTCTGTTTACTCCTTTCCCATATCTTTTCCTGGCCTCAGGAAGTTTCTATAGATCAGTACTCAACCAAACACCTTAGGCCAGCAAAGGCTTGAGCCCATCACACGTCTTTGTAGCTCTGTGATGCTCCTTTCACTCCAGGACCTTACTCTGCAAATTCTAGCTGCCTTGGTTACACTGCTCGGCTCCCTGTACATCTCTGGGAGTGGTCTGTCTGGGTCCTACTCCCTGCACTGAAGCCTGGAAACTGCACCCAGAGAGATGGCTGGTGCAGTCATAAGCTCACCATGCTGTTTCTCTCCTCTCAGAGACAGAGGTCCTGAGCTGCCTGTTTTCCAACATGCAAAAACCATTTTTTATAGGTGTTGTCCCATTATCTAGTTGTTTGAGGCAGGAGGGTAAATCTGGCCTCTCTTATTTCATCTCAGTTGGAAGTGGAAATTCCCTCTCACCATCTTCAAATGACTCAAGCCCAGGGGAACTCTGAAACAGTGCCCGATGTGCATTGCTTTTGCATAATTTATAGTCCAATTGTATATAATTGCTGCTCAAAAATTACAATTCATGTATGTTAAACTATATTTTAGAGTCAGAAGTTCTGTTTATATCTTGACTCTGTTCATTGTCAGCTATATGAACTGTTTTGAGCTTCAATTTCTTCTTCTATAAAATAAGAATTACATCTACTTTCCTAGGTTGTTGTGAGGATGAAGAGAGATTGTGTGTTTGTGTTTCTTAGCACAATGCTTGGCATATAGATATTCAATAAATGCTTGTTATTTTAATTTGCAAACCAATATCTATTTCTTTCTTTACCTTCTGAGTTTGTATTCACTTCATTTTCCTCTTATTTTTATTTTTATTATTATTTTTTTTCCTTTTTGTCTTTTTTACTGACCGGTAACGGGATCGCAACCCTCGGTGTCACGCCCGTACCGGGGACTGGCAACGGGATCGCAACCCTCGGTGTTGCGCCCGCACCGCGCTCAGCCAGTGAGCAGGAACCGGTCTCCACATGGGATCCGAACCCTTAGCAGGAGCACTGCCGCGCTCCCAAGTGGCGCACTCTCCAGTGCGCCACCGGGCCGGCCCTTCCTCTTATTTTTATAAGAATTTGCAAAGGATTCTATTCATTACCCGTCCAACACTCCTGCTAGTAGTTACTAATGGTTGAGCTTCTCAACAAGACATGAAAACATTACCTCCATTCACAACTGAATTTATTTCAGATGGCTGGTTGTAGAATCAGGAGAAGAAGGGTTTGAATAGTAATCCTGTCATTTCACTGCACAATGACATACTATTTAATTTCATTTTCTGTTGCCAATGGCAGATATTTTGCTCACTCTATCCTATCGTTTGCTTTTATTCCTAAAAGCCCCCAAAATGACTCAACTATTTAGAATTAGTCGCACATTCAGTAATTAGTATCTAATACTTAAAACTTAAGTGCAGTGATAGGCTATTACTCACACTGTTAAGAAGAGTAGTCATGAAGTACGAGTTCCACATAAACAATGTTCTACTTCATAAAAAATGTCATTTTACACAAGAGACTGGGTTCTGAGATGAACTGAAGAATCCTTAGATCAGTACTTCCCTTCTATTTTCCAGACACATGGTGTTCGGCCAAAATCTACATGTGTATTTTTGGAGAGAATTTGTGGGAAACTGCATTAAGCAGTGGCTGGGAGGTCAGAAGTGGTATAATCCTTCCCAGACTCTCACAGCACTAGCACTCCAACTGTGCAACGTACCAGGACTACTTTAAGGAAATGCAAATTCCTTGGCTCCACCCTCAAACCTACTGAATTAGTAAATCTGGAGGAGCGTAACAACCTGCATTATCAATTGACAGTTCAGGTCATTCTGATGGAAGAGGCCCTCTGCATACATTCAAAGAAATACTGTCAGTCTAGTTAAATTCTAGATAGCAATTACAGGGGAATAATTTGAGGTTTAAAGAACTTAACCTTGCATGAGGAAAAATAGGGACAGAAGCCCAAGTACATGAGTAAGCCTATGAAATACATATACATATTTTTATGCTCATTAACGACAAAATAACTAAATCACATAAGCTTACTCCATGCCAGGTACTGTTCCGAGTGCTTTATATATCTTAACTCACCTAATCCTACCTCACGCTATTAGGTGAGTGCCACTATTATTCCCATTTGTTTTTTCGTGTTTTTTTTTTTTTTTAATGGGCCAGGCATGTTTATATCCCATTTGTTTTTTTTAAGTAAACTTTATTTTTTAGAGCAGTTTTAGGTTCACGACAAAATTGAGCAAAAGGTTAGACAGTTCCCATATACCCCAGCCCTCTCCACTCCGACACACAGCCTCCCACACTGTCAACATTCCTCCCAGAGTGGCACATTTGTGACTACAACTTATGAACCTCCACTGACACATCATTATCACCCAAAGTCCATAGTTTACTTTAGGGCTCACTCTTGGTGGTGTACATTCTATTGGTTTAGACAAACTTATAATGACGTGTATCCACCATTATAGTGTCAAACAAAATAGTTTCACTGCCCTAAAAATCACTTGGGCCCACTTATTCATCCCTCCCTCTCCCTGAATGCTGTGAACCACTGATCTTTTTATTGCCTTCATAGTTTTGTCTTTTCCAGAGTGTCATAGAGTTGGAATCATACAGTATGGAGCCTCTTCAGATTGGCTTCTTTCACTTAGTAATTGTGTATGTAAGGTTCCTCCATGTACTCTCATGGCTTGATAGCTCATTTCTTTTTCGTATTGAATAATATTTCATCGTCTGCCTATACCTGTAAGAAAATAATCTAAGTGACTCATTTTCAGAAATGACTTATCTGAGGGTGTTTTAATTGATTCAGGCCTAGCCTAAAAGTTGTCTGACTGGTCCAGCCCATTCCTGGAGGGTCTCTGAACAGACAGAGCTCTCCTTGAGATGATAATTAGTTACTAGCCTCTATTGTTTGCTTCAAACAGATAGAGCTCTCCTTGAGATGGTAATTAGTTACTAGCCCCCACTATTTTCTTTATTCCCTGGTGCTTCTCCTTTCACAGGGCTTAAGTGGACCTTTTTTGCAGGCTTGTCCTGAGCCCCCAGACAAAGGAATTCCTTGCAGTGGGGTAATAAATTTTAGGCATCATTCGGGAAGATTGTGTATCCCATAGTACTCAGCCAATGAGGAAGTGGGGATAGGGACTTGCCTACTAGGGAATAAACTGCTTGCTACAGCCCTTTTCCGTGTGCCTGTCTCATTCACAGACACCCAGACTTGCAA